ACCAGTGAGCCACCTCTACAGTCCTGTTTATTTTTTATTTTGAGACAAGGTCTCGATAGGTTACATAGGGCCTAAGTTGTTGAGACTGCTTTGAACTTATGATCCCACTACCTCAGCCTCCTGAATTGCTGGGATTACAGGCATGTACTACCATGCCTGGCAACTCTGCCATATTTTACAAATAGCTCCAGGTACATACAAATATTCCTTTCAGAGACTAAGTAAAATAAGAAAGTAAATATCTAATGTTATCTAATATTTATAAAAACTAACTTGAAATAATTAAAATATCTTCATTCTAGAATTTTAAGAAGTTGAATTATTTCAATAATGGCTATGAGAAATAGAAAATATTAGATTATCTTGCATATTAGATAATGATTTGTTTTCTTGCTAAAACATTCATGAGAACAAATTTTCAGAAAATAAAATGGAAAAAATAAATAGTAAATCTCAGAGAATTAATGGCATGATTGAATTTTATCCATTTGTTTCACAAAGATTTGATTACATATCTAAGGTGCTATTACTTTTTCTTTTTTTGCATTATCCTTTTATATCTTTGTATCACAGGGGCAGAGAATTTTACAATATTCATCATTACCATTTTAAAATTTTGGTTTTGGTTTAACAATATTAATTGGTGTCTTATGAACTAAGTAAAACGAATGAAGCTAATTATCATTATTATTATTATTACTATTATTAGTGAGAATTCATTTTAGAAAAATTCTGATACCAAACTAAGAAGGATATAGTTTGAATGCCAAGTTTAGTTATCATGTTCAATAGTACTAGCACATATTATCATTTAGAAAAGTATACAAATGAGATTTCCAAGTTAGGAGTTTTTCAAGACCCTGAATCTTACAACTTTTATAACATTTACGCATGAGAAGAGCCTTTCCACCTTATAGTGCTAAATATTCAATGAGAAAAAACTAAGAGCTTTTAGTCATTACTTCAAAAGATGTTTTACAGGTTTAGATACGTTTTCACCTCATATATACTTGATTTGTATTCTAAAACTTTAAAAGACAAAATCCAGACAAACAAAAGTAATATATATTTGAAATCTTCTTTTAAAAACCAATGTAAAAGTAATAAAGTAAATGTAATCACAGACTAAATGACACTTGCAATGTCAAGAAATAAGGGGCAAATAAGTAACACTAATAATATTCAGAAAATGTCACAATTGAGAAAATATACAGATCACCTTCCTGCCATCACAGAGCACAAGTGCTTGGATACAATTTTGCATTGCCTCCTAATAATATCAGAATGACAAATTTAAGAATTGGAAATGGGCTTTGAGATTTATTAGTAGAACATTTTCCACCCAACACAGGAATCACTCAAACTGAATACTTAAGTGATGCCTTTTATCTGATTGTAGACTCCAATGACTAAAGGATTCTTACTTCAAAAACTTTCATTTCTCATTATCTCTATTTTTATACAAATATTCCTTAATCCAGTTAAAAAATGGTTAGTTGCATCTTCTATCCACTGATTATAATTTAACTTGTAGACATTTTATTTAACAAACATTTCATTATATTTTATTTATTTATTTATTTTTTGGTACCGGAGATTGAACTCAGGGGCACTTGGCAACTGAGCCATATCCCCAGCCCTATTTTGTATTTTATTTAGAGATAGGTTCTCACTGAGTTGCTTAGCACCTTGCTTTTGCTGACGCTGGCTTTGAACTCATGATCCTCCTGTTTCAGCCTCTGGAGATCTGGGATTACAGGTGTGTGCCAACATGCCTGGCTTATTATGGAATTTTCATTACCAACCTATTTCCTTTCACATACATGCTATGAAGAGGGAAAAAAATATCCCCAGCTACTTGCATACATAGAAAAAAGGTGAAAGAGAGAGGGTAAGAGCATGGTTGGTTCACACACTGCTTATCATATGCTGAGGCATTACAAAGCAATCTCAGATTCTAGGACAGTAACTTGAAAAGCCTTTATTTCTTCCCTGGTGTGACCTGAGGCTGGGACATAATAACATTCCTAATCTGCCAGCTCAGTGTTCAGAGAAAGTAAGGGAAACAATTGGTACCATTCATTTTCTGCAAGGATAGTAGGCCCAAGGTTACAGGAGGATTTCAACTCTTGGTATTCATGACCAGGAGGGAATTATCAATTAAGAATTGGAAGTTACCAATTAAGAGGAATACTTTCTTGAGCCTAGGAGCATAAGCAATACCTGTGTAGCATTGTAGGAAGATGACTTCTTTTTCTCTGAGACTAGCATAAATTGAATCAGGCTTAGAAAGATTAAACATGACTTATCTATGTTAGTATATTTGTAATTAATATAATGAAATTTCTGATGCTCCATAAGGAGATGCACTTGGCTCATTTATTTAGATCTGGAGATTGAAAGACCTTCATCTGGTGATGACCTTCCTGTTGGCAGAGTCCTGAGGAGGCAGAGCGCATCACATGGGAGAAGAGTGACAGGAGACAGATGCCTCTTCTGGTTTCTCTACCTCTTCTTATAAAGCCACAAATATTCAATAAGGGGGCCTCATGCTGATGACTTTTTGTAATCCTAATCAACTCCCCCAAATCCCAACTCTAAACATCATAGTTGAAGTGAGTTTCCACCCTCCTGATGTTTAAATACAGATTAGATTTCAAAACATACACCATTGGGTGATACATTCCAAACACACTGAAAACACAGTACTACCAATATATCTTCAAGTTTTTAAAGGCAACTTGCATTTTCCCCTAAGTCTTCCTCTCTGCTTGCCCAATATTCAGATTATCTATTATAGGCTTTGAACTCCTTGAATCCAAGAATCCCTTGCTCATCTCCTTTATTAAGTACTCCTCTGTTTTATAGTGTGTACTTAGATGTTTGTTGAATGCATGGATGAGTCAACCCTCAGCCAGGATATTGTTTCAGCATGCTCTCCATAATACTGGTGTTTATGAAAGTTCCTCTTAAAGTTGGTGCCCAGATTTAGAAACCTTCCTGCAGACCTGTGTTTTTAACTTTCTTTGATATTGCCATATGTAAATTAGTAACATCCCAAAGTAGATTTTCTTTTTTAGTATCAGAATAACACTGTTGGCTCATATGGAGTTTGTGGTCATATAAAATCTTGGACCTTTATATGAACTCTTGTCATTCCAGAGGACAAACCCATATATTACATTCACAAGAAATATGGTCTCATCTTTGAACAGTTATATCCTGTACTTACACAATTATCTTTTGAACTTAAAATCAGGGCCACATGTTGTCTCTGTTAAACTTCATCTTGATGCACGAACTTGATTTCATTCTATTAAATTCATTTTGCATTTGAAATGTATCACCCTAAATATCAGCAACTCCACACTGCTTTCTGCAGGTTGGACAAGCGTTCCTTTTTGGTGTGTTTTATAAACTCACCATTTGGCAAATGGCAAGTTCTTATGGACAACATGCTCCAAACAACTAGGTTTGATATACATACTCTCATCACAATTTATTTGATATGTTTTTGTTTAAACAGCTATGAACTAGGGAAACCTATGTAAAACAGAACAATATGAAAAATGTGGTAGCTATTATACTTTCTTGAACTTGCAGGCTAGCACCATATCAAACGTTCTGTGAAGTGAAGGACTAAGAATAGATTTGCAAAATTGGTTCACGTTTCTATCCAGCCACTCCATAGATATGCTTGTTCAGTGTCAGTCTCTCTGAGTGTTTTTCTTATTTTCCAAAAAGATGCTTGTGTGCTTATTAAGTGAAGAGGAGTTTATATTGTGCTGAAGACAGTTTAGGACTTGCAGTAGGAATAAATCAGATGCAGAAATCATCCGCTATAAAGAAGGAACACAGGCCATTTTGAACCATGAACATCAAAAACCTTTTTGGTATTTGTTAATTACTCTGTATTTTGTTTAATCTCAATACATCTGAAGTTTGTGGTCTTTTAACTTCTCTGTTTTAGTTTTAAAATATTGAAATATCTGTAAGTTTCTAGTTTGGGGGGTTTGTGTTTAGGGGTCTGAGAAGCAAATACTATGATAGGATTAAATATGTGAAGATATCATTGAAGAACTACTCAGGTGGGAGAAAGCTTGAGGGGAGCAGAGAATGTTCCCAGAGGTTTTAAGACATAAATGAAGGAGAGACAGAGGGAAATAGTTGTATGGAAGTATCCTAGAGAGCCACTCGGTCTAAGGAGGTTTCAGCAAAGCCATCATTAACTTCCTCCAGTTGAAGTTCCCCAAAAGTTGTGTCTCCCATGCTTATTCATGGTCCAGGAGCACCTGAAGGAAGCATGCACAAAAACCAACTGCCACCAAAGCTGCAGTTTTAACTGATCATCTTCCTGTAGTTGGGAGTCTATGAACCAAGCCATCTAAACACTTTGGGTCTTTATGAAAGGAAAGTTCAAATAATGTATAGGAGTACAGTTGAACATACTCCAGTAAGGATTTTAAAAAATAGTACTAGAAACATTTCATTCCTTTAAATTCATTTTGCATTTGAAATGTACCATACTAAATATCAGCAACCCCACATTGCTGATAACATTTTAAAAAAGACTGATTATAAATGAACACAAAGTACAAAGAAAATAATCCATGGCAGTGTTAACAATACCATCTAATATAAATAAGCATAAGGACTGCTAAAAGGAATGAGAGGATAAACAGGGAGAAAGAAAAGAGGAAAAAAGAGAAGCATAGCACATCTCTGCAAACAATGATGCAAATACTCCCAAAAGTACGAAACCCATTGCACTTTATAACTAATGGAAAATTTAGAAATTACCTAGGAGAAATTTACCTTTAAAGTTAGGTGTCTAGACAAGAGATTTAAGTTATGTGGTCAAGAATGCACAGATCCTTGACTGTGTTCTTTTCATAATATCACCTCAATAGCTTAGTTACCACATGGAAAAATTAGAAGTGTTTAAAATATAGTCATCAAAATGAACTCGAAATGGAGGAGTGACCCTTATCACTACCACATGGTAACACAGAGCAAACTTGTTTATTGTCACCAGGTGCTCTTCATATTCTAGAAAAGAAGACACTGTTGCTATTTTCTCAGAGCAGAAGTGCACTCTCAAGTACAGGCCAGCAGAGACTGACAAGTAGTGTTCTGAAATAAGGAGGGGGGACATGTGAGAAACAGAGTTTTTTTTAAAGGAAAATTGTAGTTGTAGATGGACACTATACTTTTATTTATTTATTTGTTTGTTTATTTATTTTTTATGTGGTGTTGAGAATAGAAATGGTGCCTCACTCATATGTGCTAGGCAAGCACTCTACCACTGAGCTACAATCCCAGTCCCAGAAAAAGAGGCAGAAATCTTTACCTACCAGAAGACTTTATCCTTAAAGTGAAGAATGCAAATACAGTTCTTCATGCAGGTGAATGAAACATGCGTAAAAGGAACTTGAAGTTGATTAGGGACACTGGGAGATGGAGCATGCTTCTTGATGTAGTGAAGGACCATTCACGATACTGCTTTAGAGAAGTAAGGATAGCTGGCATTCCAGAGCACACCTAAAAGGCCAGGTCTAGAAGCCAGATGATGTCACAAAGGTCCACTTTCAAAAAATGCAGACTAGATATTTTTAATACAAATGTGCTTCCAAGGAAATAATTTTTCATTACTACTAGTGTCTTTCATATTCTTTAAGTATAACATAAGTAAAATAATAGTCATGATTAATGTTATCCATCTTTTTTGAAAAAATTGAAATTTTGGCTAATCATTTAGACTTTTAAGGACTATGAGTTTTATTTGTTTTCATGGAAGAACTATATCGTTCTAGAGTGTTAAATTTGTAATGTCTGCAAGTAGAAGCTTCTTATTTTAAGTTCAGAGAATAAAAAAAGGTAAATTATTATGATTGTATTTAAAAAGAATTCAAAGAGACTAAGTATAATATAAAGATGTCATTATGCCATGGGATAATTGGAAAGCATGAAATAGAGACAAAAAAAAAAAGAAATCCACAAATTGTTCTTAATGAAGTTATTTAGATGGCTGCTGCATGGACCACACTCTACAACCCCCCTTCCATTCCTGCCTGTTCCTATCCCCCATATCCATGTCCCACTGACAGGCCCTTTAGTCTTTGGCTCTATCTATAGGAAATAAATCCGTATTTTTAAAAAAATCTCCACTGAATTATTAGGATTATTGTCATTTGACCTTAACATAAAAATTAAGCAATGAAAATATTTTCAGCAAATAGTCAATCCATTATTTAAATGAAATTGTTTACTATGGTTTGGATTGTAAAAGAATTTATAAATAGAAGAACACAGCAGCCTTCAGACATTGATATTCAATTAGTGTTCAATTACCAAACCAGAAGGTGTTATGAGTTTGATGTAATGGAGGGTAAATAAGCTGAACTTGTTTAAAGTTTTCCAGTAAAAATTTTAGCTTCAACCCAAACATTTCATTTCAATGTTAGCCATTGAACTCTGTAATGTTTACTTGTCACTAACAAGGAAAGATTTATGAGATCTTGTTATACTAAGTACCCCAAGATTCTTATTTGAATTTACAAAGAGGAAGACAGAGGCAGTCTGTCAACACACCCATCTTTAAAGAATATAAGATAAGAATAAGGGATTTTCGTCATTGATTTTTAGTTTTTAACATTTTCAAATATTAATTTCATTGCTCAGTATTTACCTAAGGCTATGTGACAAATGTATGGAAGGGCAAAGAACTCACAAATTATTGATTTTTACTTTATATCCCAAAATACTAAGCCACCCAGTCTTTGAAAAATTGCAAACAGTAAAAGAAGCAATGAAACTATCAGAAACCCCAAGAAAATAATAAATACAGTCAGTATGATTTTGTGGATGATACCGTGTTCCATTCCCAAACAATACTGTTTATTTTCAATGAAAATTTTTTTAGTTCATATTTTCAGTGAATTTAGAATTAAAATCTGATAACTGAAAGTGACCAGGATGGTCACTTACTCTATTCCTGGACTCTATAAACTGGTATTTAACCATTACTATCTACTTGATAACTTCTCTTGAGTGACTGTCAGAGGAGGAGGTTCATAATCTCTCAGTTGAAAATGCCTTGTACCCAGAGAGTTCTTATCTACAACCCAAATTATTCTTACATCTTTAGAATTAGAAAAGAATTGGCCACGATCTAGCTCTTTTCACAATGGCGTTCATGCTTTCAAAGTGAATCTCCATCTTTGATCTTCCATGCTCTCAGGAAGCTGGCAGCGATTCCCTTCTGCTACTATGCCTTTCCCACTTGTCATTCTAGATTCTATGCGAGTGTTTAAGGTTGATGTTGCTGACTTTCATGGTATATTCTCTTTTTTGTGGCCTTTCCTCCACATCATAGGTTGGAGGTTACATAACACATATTGGGATTAAGTTACTGGACTTGGTACTAGTAGGCATGGCAACTCCAACTCAGGGCACCCGTTATCTGCAATGTCTGCGTGCCACTGTCTCAGAAACTAGACACCTGTAATGGATCCATTAACAGATTGATGGCTGTAAGATAAAAGCAGACACCAGGGCAGAAAAATAGTTCTGTGTTTTCTGTTGTAAGAAAATCAGCATCTTGTCTTCTGGCTTTAAACCTGTAGAATTGCCAAGGGAGCTCTATTTTTTTTTTCCTTATCTAGCAAACTAAAACTTTAGCTCTTACAAAAATCTGCCCCAGGACAGAAAGCCTGGCTCAATTTCTTGTAATTTCTTTCAATGGGAGAAAGCCAGAAAATGTGCTAGTTAGGTTCATGTCGTTGGATTTGTTACAGGAAAAATCAGACCACACTACAAAGATTTATCAGATAATTATGTTTTATTTAACCACAAACTAACAACTAAGGACTTATAAAGGATTTAAACATTTGGAGACCAAAAAAATATATCCTAAAATTCTGAATATCTTCTTTCCCTTCAAAATCATAGTCATATTTCCAGCTGAATAACTAATTATCTTCACCATTCCTAAATTCTCAAGTCTCAATGAAATGTTTAGTGGGCCAAGGAAGAGTCTTTGTTTCAAGGAAGGGGCTATAATTGTAGTTCCACTATATATTTACTCAGACAAATCACAACTAATTTGCCTCTGTTTAATTAGATATAAATTGAGATTAGTTAGCTTCCTTCCCTGGAACTTAAGAAAGTTCTATAAATAGTAAAAAAAAAATTATAAAAAGAATAAAGGCAGCTAGGAACAGTGGCAAATGCCTGTAATCCCAGTGGCTTGGGAGACTGAGGCAGGAGGATCTCAAATTCAAAACCAGCCTCAACAAAAAACGAGGTGCTAAGCAACTCAGTGAGACCCTGTCTCTATATAAAATATAAAATAGGGGTGGGATGTGTCACATTAGTCGAGTGCCCCTGAGTTCAATCTCCAGTACCACCTGCCAAAAAACAGAATTAAGGCAGATATTTTTATCAACTAATGATTTTTTTTTGTAAAAATAATATGTTGTTCCAAAGTACATTATTTGGACAAAGATAATTCTAGCAGAGCTAAGCATTTATATAATGACAAATATATCATTTGATTTCATATGAATATTTGAGTTCCTATCATAGCTTATATTTATACATCTGGTCACTTTATTAGAATATTTTTTGCTGTCATTCCTTTTTTAGCTAATTGATTTGAGGCCTCATTGAAGGGATAGAAAGGTTCATATAGTTATGAATGTAGTCATATCTATGTTTTAGTCAGCTTTGTGTTACTGGGACCAAAAGACGTGATAAGAAAAATTTTAGAGGAGGAAAAGTTTATTTGGTACTCAGGATTTCAGGGGTCTCACTCCATAAATGGCCATCTCCATTGCTATGAGCCCAAGGTGAGGCAGAAAATCATAGCTTAAGGGTGTGGAGGAGGAAGGCTGCTCAGGACATGGAAATCAGAAAGCAGAAAGGGTTCCCCTTACCAGGGACAAAATATGTACCACATATGCATGCCCCCTGTGACCTATCTCCTGCAGCCACATCCTACCTGCCTACAGTTACCAATCTGTTAATTCATATTAGTGGGTTAATCCATTGATTAGTTTATACCTTTCATAATCTAACCATTTCACCTCTGAACATTCTTGCATTGTCCCATATATGAGCTTTAAGAGGATACCTCATATCTAAAACTTGATGATCTACATTTTCAAGTATATTTTCCCATGTTTAAGAAATTATTGCTCAAGGAACTGGAGGATGGAGAGATAGATAGACATATTGAATAATAAATGTTTAAATATTTGGTGTGTGTGTGTGTGTGTGTGTGTGTGTGTGTGTGTGTATGTGTGTGTGTCTGTGTGATTTCAGGACAAAGATAATTTTTAGATAGAATAATATAAAACACTTACCTAACACAGGATGATAATCTTTGCTGATTAAATCTTAATGACACATATACAGATGTGTCATTATCAGGCATTATAGAATTCCATCCAAATGTTCTCTATGAGAAAACAAAATTAGAATTTGAAGAGAGAACATTTTATATTATTGTATCAGTACTTCCTGGTGTGTATGTGAATGTTTCTTACATTACGATTTTAACCCAAAATCTAGGATGAGATTTGAAAATTATCACAAAGCCAAATCATACAAATATATACAAATGTATACAACTTTGGTCATGCTACTAATTTGGTGTATTTCACTTTTTTATTTTTATGTGGTGCTGAGGATCCAACCCAGGGTCTCACACGTGAAGGCGAATGCTGTGCACTGAGCCATAGCCCCAGCCCAAGATATTTCTTCTTGAGTAAAATTTAGCATCTTGAAGCAGGTATAAATTTCTAGAGTCCCCTTCTAGATTAAATAGAGGTTTGTGGTTGATGTGGAAGTATAAAAAGGTAAATGACATCTTTTAAGGAGGAAAAACATCTGGAATCAGAGAAAACTCTCACATCATTATAGCCCTGTCCTATATAAAAGGCAGATCTCTTCAGATGTCTTCAGAATGTTATGGTGAAGTCAGCTGGTCTTGAGTTATACTTTTGACTTACTGGTCACTGGCTCATGGTCACATTTGGTTTCTTGTTTTCTTGATGGACTTTCTGCTCCACATTGTTACAAAAACCACCACTCTGTGCCCTCAATCACATTTGAGAATGTTTCCTGAGGTGTGGTTTTTGCAGTAAGGTTTTGGTTTCTTCTCCGTTTGGCAGGCAATTCAATCCCAACTAATCTCTTCTTTCTCTCTCTCTTTTGGTGCTAGAATAAATTTCTTAAATTTAATTCTCCCCTATCTATTTTGTTTAAATAGCTGGCATTTATCAAAGAGGAAGTACTGACTGAACAACTTTTAAGTTTCCAAATAATTCTTAAGTTTCTTTCATTTTAACTGTAAAATAAGTGATAAATGAATGAGATTTTGGTTAAATTATTTTTTCATCATTCATTACTGTTGTAGGGCTTAAAATTGTCTTGAAGAAAATATAAAAACAATTAAAATTTTGTTTACCATTGGTCATCAATTAGT